CGACGTCGGATTCCTGGAAGATTCATGCTGACGCTGTTTCCGAGGCAATCTCATTCGATTCCGGTGAAAAGGTGCTAAGCTGTCGCTCATCATATGACGAACATCATCAGAGCAAGATATCATCGTCACAACCAAATTTAAGCTAACGAGTCAAGTTTTCTTGAATTTTGTTGCGACTATGATGTTCGTCATATGACGGACGAAAGCTCAGCACCTCTTCACCGGAATCGAAGGAGATTGCCTCGGAAACAGCGTCAGCATGAATGTTTCAGTAAATCCAATCGACAGCTGGTCAAGAGGAATCCGCCGTCGTCTTCTGTTGGAACCAACCTTCGAATCTCTTCACCCAACACTTTTGCTCGAAATGGAAGTAAGCTAAACAATTATGAAACAAGAGATTCCTCGAAACCCATCTTTTCTTTGCATAGTCAACACTTGTCCAATTTTCTGTTAGACCGTTGTAGCATCACTCTTTACCTCTATTTTCTTCGTCTCACCTCCCAGTATTGCATCTCCTTCTCTCAACCCCACTTCACATGACCTATTTACCGATTCACACCCGTCTGTGTCCACGTTCCCTCAAACTTCGCCTAAATGTGTGTCGATTCAAGTGGATTTAGTGAAACACAATCATATTTACCACTCGTTTCAGATGCCGTTTCCAGGGATACTGGATTATGGATTCTGATTTTCATTCAGCCCCTCTCAACCATGCTTGTCAGTTGTTCTCTGTTGAACATGAATATCATTGTCTGGCCGCCTATGAGTCTCGATTTCCGGTGCCCGTTTATGTCATATTCGAGGGTTTAAGACCGGTGATTCTCAAGCCTAGGAAGCTTTCTCCTTAAGATCACATACACACACACACTGGTGGCCAACTAATATGATACCCCTAGCTTGATTACCGCAGCCGGGTAAAATTGAAGTAAACCTATAACTTTAGACTAGCAAATGTAATGGTGTGCAAGTTAGGTTATCAGGGTCGTTAATTTAATATCCAGCATGTGGTTTCACACTGGTGGATCCAACCTCCTAGCTGATTCCAGGTTTGACTCATCACACTACAATCGCTTTTTATTGAATTTTATTCGCCACTAATGATCCACTCCTTGGCGAAGGCTGTTTCTGGTCCTCCTAAATCTCTAAGGATGCCTAGGCAGTACGCCAAATTCTCACTGATTCTTTCCTCCTCCAGTCTCCTGTTCGTCAGGTTTCCTCGAAAGAGGATGTCCACAGCCTCTCCGATCTTCCGTTTTCCGGTGTTCTATCCAAATGAGGCCAATCTTTCAGTCAATTGTGTGACCGGTCAGGACACTGTGTTCAGCTTTCTCCGATAGTTCCGTATGCAATTTCCTGTAGTTTCTGCTGCTCTTCGATCCTTGTGATGATTGTCCTTAATGTTTATCCGATTTACTCGCAATTTATGGTATAAACTCGGTAGCACTCTATTATTGGCTATTTTATGCTGTGGGCAAGGGTTGCTCCTTCCAGCTGGATCATAAGAATGTTTAATTTCACTAGTGGTTGCCACAGCTTCCGAACC